TGTTGGAAAGGATGACAGAAGGAGATCTAGAAATTTATCTTCGTGATCTATTAAAAGAACGCAAATACCTTGTGGTGGTTGATGATGTATGGCAGAGAGAAGCATGGGAAAGTTTGAAAAGAGCATTCCCGGATAGCAAGAATGGCAGCAGAGTTATTATTACCACGCGCAAAGAGGATGTCGCTGAAAGAGCAGACAACAGAGGTTTTATCCATAAACTTCGTTTCCTAAGCCAAGAAGAAAGTTGGGATCTCTTTTGTAGGAAACTACTTGATGTTCGAGCAATGGTTCCAGCAATGGAAAGTCTAGCTAAGGATATGGTGGAAAAGTGTAGAGGCTTACCTCTTGCAATTGTTGTATTGAGTGGACTACTTTCGCATAGAGGGGGGTGGACAAATGGCAAGAAGTGAAAGATCAACTTTGGAAGAACATTATTGAAGATAAATTTATTGAAATCTCCTGCATTCTATCCTTAAGCTACAATGATTTTGTCAACTGTGCTCAAGCAGTGTTTTCTGTACTTTGGTATTTTTCCAGAAGATCAAGTTCTCGAGGCTGATAACATAATAAGGTTGTGGATGGCTGAGGGTTTCGTACCAAATGGAGAAGAAAGAATGGAGGATGTGGCTGAAGGCTTCTTGAATGAGCTGATAAGAAGAAGCTTGGTTCAAGTGGTAGACACATTTTGGGAAAAAGTTACTCATTGTAGGGTTCATGATTTACTTCGTGATCTTGTGATACAAAAGGCATTGGAGGTGAACTTCTTTGACATTTATGATCCAAAGAACCACTCCATATCCTCTTTATGTATCAGACATGGCATTCATAGTCAAGGAGTAAGGTACCTCTCACTTGATCTTTCTAACTTAAAGTTGAGGTCAATTATGTTCTTTGATCCAGATTTTCATAAGATGAGTCTTATAAAATTCAGGAGTGTTTTCCAGCATCTATATGTGTTGTACTTGGATATGCCTGTTTACAATAGGCATTCTGCATCAGTACCTGATGCCATAGGAAGTTTGTACCACCTCAAGTTCTTAAGATTGAGAGGTATCCATGATCTTCCATCTTCCATTGGCAACCTCAAGAATCTACAGACACTTATTGTCAATGAGGGGCTATACTCTTGCAGACTACCCCGCGTGACAGCTGACCTGATAAATCTAAGACATTTAGTTGCTTCGTATTCAAAACCTCTGAAACTTATAAGCAAACTCACTAGTCTTCAAGTTCTTCAAGGCGTTTGTTGTGATCAGTGGATAGATGTTGACCCTGTTGATTTAGTCAATCTTGGAGAATTAAGCATGCAACGTATTAAGAAATCTTACTCCTTAAACAACATTAGCATCTTGAAAAACCTTAGCACTCTCAGATTGTTTTGTGAACGTTTTGAATCATTCCCATCCCTGGAATTTGTTAATTCTTGTCAAAAGCTCCAGAAATTGTGCTTACATGGGAAAATAGAGAAACTGCCTCTGTTTCCAAATTCCATCACAATGATGGTTCTTAGGAAGTCAAAATTCATGGAAGATCCGATGCCTACTTTGGGAATGTTGCCAAACCTAAGGAATCTCATATTAGAAGATGCTTATGAAGGAAAAGAAATAATGTGCAGTGATAACAGCTTCAGTCAACTCGAGTTCCTTCATCTTATAAAACTTCGGAACCTAGAAAGATGGCATTTAGGCACAAGTGCAATGCCTCTCATTAAAGGTCTTGGTATCCATCACTGTTCAGAGCTGAAGGAGACTCCAGAGAGAATGAAAGATGTTGAAGAGAAATTAAATGAGATGGATCTTGGCAAGCATATGGCAAGTTTTCTTCGGTAATAGCAAAGGTACCTATACATAACTTTGTTCATTTTTATTTTATAAATAGCGTACGTGTTAAATAATATTTGGGGGAAACAGGAGAAGAAATTGTCACTTGAAGAGAAAAGAAAATATTTTCATAATATTTAACCAGATCAAGTCTCAATTGGTTAAGGGAGGGACTGATATATTTGGTTTTCCTTTTCCACTGGAGGACATCTTTTCTTACTTGTCTACTGAAGGGGAGCTTTGACGTAACTATAAAGTTGCTTCCATGTGACTAGGAGGTCATGGGTTCGAGTTGTGAAAACAGCCTCTTCCTTAAATGCAGGGTAAGGCTGCAAAAATGACTTTTCGACTCTAAAATGCAATTTTCACCATTTTCTTGCAGCATGGGCAGACTGTACATATAGTTAGACTGGATCTAGTTCAAGCCTCAGTTGAAACAATCTACATCACTGTCTGGGCATCACCTAGTGTGTCTCTTCATCTAGTAAAGACAGAAAACCATGCTGGAGTGAGATTGCAGGTTATACTCCAATTCCTGCACTATTTCTGATTCAATAATATTTCCTACTTTATAGCCAATTCCACTTGAACTACATGAGTATTATGTTTTTTGTTGAATATCAACATATAGATTTGAGAGAAGTACAATGAAAGGTGAGATAGTATTCTTTGCTAAAGAGAAGTCGTAGTTGCAAAAACAAGTTAACAACTAACAACATGTTGCAAGTTAGCCAATAGCAGATGTCATAGTGCCGTATGTGTAAATAAAATCCTCTAATTGTTCCTTTTTTTTTTTTTCTTATCTTCCGCCTCTGATTTCTATGGAGCGAGTTTCTAAATTAGGACAATGGCCAAAGCAGGAAGTAAAAGCACGTGGAACGAGCTGGAATGTCAAGAACATGGATGTTGCGGTTGCTGGCTTAGCTAGAGTTGTGGACATATGATGGCATTCAGATCACATTGCGGGATCCATTGGTACTTGATCGTGCAGCCTCTATCGAACGACCTGGATTTTGGCTACCAAAGGCTATATCAGAGGTCATCCCTAACTCATCGAAGTTTGAAGAGGGAAAATAATCCATCAGAGGAGAGACAATGCAACTTTGGATTTTGGCTACCAAAGGCTATATGTTTTCATTTCTCTCTTGTAATTTACACTTAGTATTTTAGTCTCTTTTAAGTTACTTTGTTCTAAACTAATATTTTCAAGTTCCTCTTTGTTTAACTTAAATTAGATAACTAGTAGTGAGTAGTAGTACTGAATCTTCTGACATAAACCTGAAAATTCTTGCAACTTTAACAAACATAAGAAATCACATTACAACAACAAAACAATGGAAAGACAAAAAAAACATGAACGAAATAGAAATTAGGGTCACACCAAAAATCAACAGATGGATCTCCTCGTAAGACAATCAGAGTGCCAAATGACTAAATCTCTGTGGATCGGGGCAACAAGAGTAGGCTCTAGTTTATTAGCTGAATGAGTAATGCTCGTACCTAACTATCATTGGCCTAATCCATCGGTGGCCACCTAAAGTTGGCACAAGTTTTCACTTAGACACTTTAACTAGAATTTGTTCATTTTAGACACCTCATGTTATGCCCCGTTATGTCTTTTTGACACTTTTTTAACAATCAGCCAAATGTGTAAGGTGTGTGTAACACACTCGCTGATGACACGTCAAAGTGACGAATTAAATAAAGACATGTGAAATCGTCTTCCCCCACCTCTCCCCCACCCAAATCGTTTTCTCAGTGAAATTCTTTCTTTTAAGTTTATGATTAGTTCTTCACTTAAGACGCAAGACTCTGTTGTTCAATCTTTCTCAATTGTTTTTCTCTATTGGTTCTATGTTTTTTCATAAATCAAATTAATTATAGCTTGATCTACTATAATGTTGGTTGTTTTTGTTTTAACTATCTAGCACCATGTTGATAGAACTCAAACAAAGAAATCTGTCAGACTACTTCCAGAAAACAGTTAGAAAAGAGTGTTAATTAATTAGTTACTAAGTTAGTTATAGATAGTGACAGTTAGTTACTAACAACAACTTGTATTGAGTAGCTTATTGAGTAGTATAAATAGACTACTCACATCTGATTGTTACTCATCAAGTAAATGAAGCTATCTTCTTCATCAAATTACTAGTCTGTTTGAAAAGTTTCTGGTTTCTTCAGAAACCGTCATGGTATCAGAATTCAGAGTCAGTGTCTGTCTATTTTACAAAGAGATTGTTTTCGAAAGACCCTTGGACGGATCAAGAACCTTCAGTCTAAATAAGGAGATTGCAACTCTGCAGCAAGGTACAGAGTCAGTGTTTGTCTATTTTACAAAACTCAAGAACTTGATTTCTCCATCAATGCAAATTAAATATTCCATGCTTTTGGTGCTACTTGTTTTTAGTTTTCACTAAATATTCTTCATCAAATTACTAGTCTGTTAGAGAAGTTTCTGGTTTCTTCAGAAACCGTCATGGTATCAGAATTCAGACTTCACTAAATATTCAGAGGAATCCATATTTTCATAGCAACTTTTTTGGCTCTTGCATTTCTTTCAAAATCTTTTTCTTGAGCCAAGGGTCTTTCGAAAACAACCTCTTTATCGTATTATAATAAAATAGGTTGCGTGATAAAGCTATTATAATAAAGTTACGGTAAATGATAAAATAGAATTACTAGAAGTATTTAATACCACTAACTGTCATTTACCACAACCAGGGCCGTCTTAACCCCTAGGCCACTAAATCCATTACTTGGGGCCCATATTTTTGGGGTCCCATTTTATTTTATTTTTACTTATAATGATAATTTTTAAGAAAAAATTATATGCACTATGAGTGCTATGATTTTTACTAAGGAAATTGTATTTAAAAAAAATATATGTACTATCAGGGAACTATATGTGATTACTGATTATGTTACTACAAAAGATAAATTTAATTTCAGGTGATAATTCAATTTGAATTGTCTTAACTTGTTATCATGATATGACATTGATGAGTATCAAACACAGCCACATAGTGTTTTAACCAATGCATATGCCGGCAAATAATTCATGTCTTGCTTTCGTATTGATCGTCCATTTTTGGCCTTATATCAATTCTTGACTTAAACTTTATTTGTATATATACAGCCTACAGCCCCCTCTTTTCTAAATAAAAATCAACACTCCTGAAGATGGCTGATGCCTTTCTGTCATTTGCACTACGAAAATTGGGCGATTTCCTCAGTCAACAAGTTTCCCTGCTTACAAGTCTCAGAGATGAAATTACATGGCTGAGAAATGAGCTACTCTTCATACAACCTTTCCTCAAAGATGCAGAACTAAAGCAATGTGCGGATCATAGAGTTGTACAATGGGTGTTTGAGATCAACTCTATTGCTAATGACGCTGTTGCTATACTCGAAACTTACAGCTTTGAGGCTGGTAAACGTGCTAGTTATCTCAAGGCTTGTGCTTGCATATGTAGGAAGGAGAAGAAATTCTACAATGTCGCCAAGGAGATCAAATCACTCAAGAAACGAATCATGGATATCTCTCGCAAACGAGAGACTTATGGTATTACAAATATCAATAGTAATGCTGGAGAAGGGCCAAGTAATCAGGTTGCAACATTGAGGAGAACTACCTCATATGTGGATGACCACGATTACATTTTTGTTGGCTTTCAGGATGTTGTACAAAACTTGCTAGCTGAACTTCTCAAAGCAGAGCCTCGTCGAAGCGTCCTCTCCATTTATGGAATGGGGGGTTTAGGCAAGACCACTCTTGCGAGAAAACTTTACACCAGTCCTAATATAGCCTCTAGTTTCCCTACACGCTCTTGGATATGTGTTTCTCAAGAGTACAACACAATGGATCTTCTTA